TCTTCCCGTAACATAGTTATACAGCATAAGTCCCCTTTCCTTTTTTCATCCAATGCAGTAAGTCCAATTTTTTGGAGTTTCATATTTATATTTCTTATCACTTATGAGTTGGTGTTCATTTTGTGGCTGTTCTTTGAACACTTTTCCAGTTTCTCAAAATCCTTTTTTAAATGTAGGCTCCATACTACCTTACTAAAATAGATCTTAAGATGGTTGTAATGATCTTTCCATTTCTCTGTCCTTACATGAATGTCCATTTATGAATGCCTTCCTCATGTTTGCAACCAGATCTAGCATTTTATGGGCCTTTTCATTCATATGATCATCTAGGCATAAGGTTCTGGTTATCATCATTCCAAGGTCATTTCCCTATCTGCTGTGTTTAATACTGGGTCTCCTAACTCGTATTTGTAGAGGGACAGATTTTTACATTGGCATGAGACATCATCTTTTACCCTTCTTTGTATTTTGATCCCAAATCACTGATGAGAATAATAAATTATCCTTGGTACCGAGAGCGATCCCTCAGATACTCCACCAATTACTAATCTCTAATTACTATGCTCATTTATCATTCACAAAAGAAGTCTTTTGTCCATTCATTACACCGAGTGATTCTAATTTAAAGGCTAAATATACACAATCTACCCAGCCATCTCCTTGTAATACGCCAAAAACAGTATTATGTATGTATATATGTCTGTATGTATATGAATGTATGTATGTATGAGTACATGTATGTATGTATACATGCATCTATGTCTATATGTATGTATGTGTATGTGTATATGTATGTATGTATACATGTATATATATGTATGTATACATATATTTATATATATGTAGGTATACATGTACATGTATATATATATATATATATATATATATATATATATATATATATATATATTATATATATATATATATATATATATATATGTAGGTATACATGTACATATATATAGGTGTACATGTATATGTATGTATGCATACATGTATGTGTACATGTGTGTATGTGTATATGTACATGTACATATATGTGTACATGTATGTATGCATATATGTAAGTATATGTACATGCATGTATGCATACATGTATGTATACATGTTTGTATGTACACATGTATATACACATGTATGTATATTTACATGTAAGTATGTATACATGTATGTATGTATGTAGAATTTTTCTGACATTCAAATTAGCAAAAGACCTTTGCCACCTGTATAAGTCAAGACTAACTTCACTGGCTCCTATTTTCCATACAGGAAGAAAATCAAATGACTAATTATAATACTAAAGTAAGCAGAGTTCATTACTTTCCTATAAAAGTGTTAAGTGTCACTATTTTAATTCATTTTCATTTCTACAAATGTTAAATGTTAATCATCTTCATTCACATTGACTACATTTTTTAGTTCCTGGTTCTCAGTCACAATTGTATCCTTTAACAATAAGTAATATGACCAACAGCTTAAAATCCTTTTCACAACATTCATCCATCAAAATCTCGTACCATATCCACAAGCCAATCCACACACATACAACCATACAAACAACTACATCAAACAATAAACATAGACACACATACCCTGGCAAACTTAGCACATACTGCACACTCACCTGCTCAGCTGAAGGTCTGGCTGCAGCTACTGGTGTGACGGGTGTAGGTGCCGCAGGAGTCACGTTCGGGGTGAGATTTGGGGTGGCAGTGGGGGTGATGGGAGCCACAGGGGGTGTCAGTGGGGCTCCCATGGGGGGTAGGATATTGGAGGCAGGCAGAGGAGGATCCTGCATAGTGATACCAATGGAGGATTGAAACAACCGATTACGAGTGCACATATTGAATAATTCTCCGAGTGAGAATGTCATTACATTACACCAAACTAGTACATGATAACAGACTATGTACTTGCAGTGCATGTTACAAAATCATTTTAATTCAAGTGATATGTATTACTATGAAAGTTACACAAGTTTTTCTAATAAACATATATAACTAATAATAAAAATAATAATGATAAGCAACAATAACAAATTCTACCTTATATATTTTCATCGATATATCCAACTTTCAACTATTAATCATTATAGCATAAACAACTTTAAATGAAGCATTTTTTAATTACCATATATGCAAATTTTATACTCTATTTTAAATCATGCCACATATTTTATCAAGAAAATAAAACACCTTTAGTCTTTGGTAATAATGCTTTCAATAACTCACATGATTCATAATCATTATCTTTCAAGACAATTATTCAAACATCATAAAAAAAAAAATATTATTCTGATATAACTCATAAAAGACTTGAAGGACATTGCATACAAACCTGCTTCACATAAAAGAAAATATATATGTCTGTTTTCTTAAGAGAAAATAACTATGCAACTAAGGAAGACTGTATGATCAAAATCACAAAGGGGAAAAAAAGAGGCAGAGAGAGACAAAAGGAGAAAGAAAAGAGAAAAAAGAAAGATTTAAAAAACAGGAGAGTGGGAGGGAGAGAAGGAGAGTGAGGAGGAGTGGAGGAGGAGGGGAGGGAGGAGGGAGGAAGGGGGAGGAGGGAGGAGGAGGAGGAGGAGGAAGGAGGAGGAGGGGGAGGAGGAGGAGGAGGAGGAGGAGGAGGAGGAGGAGGAGGAGGAGGAGGAGGAGGAGGAGGAGGAGGAGGAGGAGGAGGAGGGGGAGGAGGAGGAGGAGGAGGAGGAGGAGGAGGAGGGGGGAGGAGGAGGAGGAGGAGGAGGAGGAGGAGGAGGAGGAGGAGAGGAGGAGGAGGAGGAGAGGAGGAGGGAGAGGGAGAGGGGAGGGAGAGGGGGGAGAGGGGAGGGGGAGGGAGAGGGAGAGGGAGAGGAGAGAGAGGGAGAGAGAGAGGAGAGAGAGAGAGGAGAGAGAGAGAGAGAGAGAGAGGAGAGAGAGAGAGAGAGAGAGAGAGAGAGAGAGAGAGAGAGAGAGAGAGAGAGAGAGAGAGAGAGAGAGAGAGAGAGAGAGAGAGAGAGAGATTTAAAGAAACAGAAACCAAAATAAATGCAAAACAGGCTGCCGGAAAGATACAAAAGGCTCTAAAAAAGGACAGTAACACTTAGCAACACAACACCATTCAAAGCAAGACAAAAGTAAATCAAAAGTAAACAGATGAACAATCAAATAAATACATCACTCTAAACTGTGACGAAAAGACAACACATTACGTCAACACTCACTCTACAGAAGCAATAACCTTACTTGTGTACCATCAAAAAACACATCCAAGTCTCATTTCACTACGATATAAAGGCCAAGGGTTAAGGCAATATTACGTTGTCACACAATGAAAAGAATCAAATCGGGACCATACACATACAGAGACAATCACAGTTTTTAAGTCACGATTACACAACCTGTCAGACATACAGATGGACAGAATCAGATGAGCTAAGGCCCATTTACGTGGACATCTGAAAGAGAACTACCAAGAGAGAGATCCTTTCGTCTCGTTATACTGCACATACAACTGAGTACTGAACGTAAATAAAAGAGGAAGTCAGCAACACATCACATTGACAAACACAAGAGAAAAGAAGGAAGTTTAAACCAAAAAATAAAAACGGAAATTATCATTAGTAGTAATAGTGGTAACAATGATAATAATACAGGGAATAAGAGGGGCACCAAGAAATGGCTAGAAAAATAAAAATGACGACCAATCAAGGCTGCCCCGCACACAACCCCACGAGGCTGCACACCTGGTTAAGCTGTAGCTTTGGCGTGGAAGCGGGATCAAAAAGTTCACCATCATCGGTCTCATCTTCAAGGGACACCTCCTGTTGGGGGGCAAAATTCACGTTGGCCACAAGCTGGACGCATGGGGGAAGTAGGGTGGGAGCATAAATGTTTAATGGGGATGGGGAGGGAGGAAACATCCTCATTATTAACTTGGATACCAAGATTAATAATTGCGATTACTTTGAATTTTCTACAATCCACACAAAATCTATTAATCTATCCTAAATATTCAATACTTTTTACAATTATTGCTTTTAAGAAATCTTTAAAAGATATCATGAGTTACATGAAAAAAATAATAAATCATACATATTTAAACAATTCAATTCTCCTATGATCTCTAACTGCTTACTGCCTGAGTACACATCATCTCCTGTTTTATGCACCATGCATAAGTCATATCCAAGGTCTGCTGCATTTGTAGAGTCATCTTTCAGGAACACAATGACTGCACTTTAAAATCACTTGTATCGCATATGAATAACATGAATTATAAAAAAATCATCCAAGGAAAAAATCACAAGTCTATGGTAACACCAATAATAATGACTAATAAAGTTATATACAGTAACAACCGTAAGACAACAATGATCATAATCACAATCTTGAATAGTATCACTGGACCTCTTATCAAATTTACTCAAGTTTCTATTCACAAAGGGTACATTAATTATTTATCATTCATTATCTACAATTACTAGAATTACTTTCATTTAACTACCTATAAATATATTCATCTTTTAACCATGTCCAATATTGCAAATATGTTACATTCTTCTAACATTTCCATTTCCAATAAATGATCATCACATAGCACATCTCTTGGGTAGGATTCAATGTATTCCCAAGCATCATTTTTATTTTCATTCATATTACACCAATCTCGTCATATCCATCAATTGCATCTCTAATCATTGGAAACATGTATCAAATGATTTTCTATGGAATTTCTCCATAGCACTGAACACACCACCACCCTCTAAAACCACCATCATCATCACCGTCACTAAATTTCTCCTCATAGGGCATACATATCTAAACAGCAACTCTAAATTCATTACTATTGGACACTACCTTATTGGTCAGTTAAAACTCCTTTCTATTTGCTAGGAATAGCTGTCTTTTATGATTGTCATTACACTTTAAAAATTCTATTTATATAAATAAAAGAGAATGGAAACAAACAAGGATACTAAAATTATTGCTATTGTAACTGCAGCTCAATGTTTATAA